TGGAAGGGAAGTCGGTAGGGAAGCATGACCTGGTCATCAGGCTCCTTAGGGGGGCGAGAAGGTTAAATCCTCTCCGGCCTTCCTCTATACCCTCTTGGGACCTGTCTCTAGTGCTCAGAGCACTACAGCAGGGCCCATTTGACCCTTTGCAGTCAGTTGAGCTGAGGTTTCTATCAATGAAAACTCTGCTCTTGCTTGCTCCATCAAGAGGGTAGGGGACCTGCACGCATTATTTTGGTCGAAGATTCATGCATAGAGTTTGGACAGGCTGACTCCCAGGTAATCCTGAGTCCCCGGTTTCCAGTACTCCCTTCAGGGATCAGGTGTTGAGCCTGCAAGCGCTGCCCCCGGAGGAGGCAGACCCTGCCCTAGCTTTGCTTTGTCCCGTCCGAGCCTTGAGATGGTACATAGTCCGAACACAAAGCTTTAAGACCTCAGACCACCTCTTTGTCTGTTACGGAGGCCGGCAGAAGGGGAATGCCGTCTCTAAGCAGAGGATGGCCCACTGGATAGTGGATGCCATCAACCTGGCTTATCAGGCACAGGTTGTGCCCTGCCCGCTCAGGTTGCGAGCTCACTCTACTAGAGGTGTGCATTCTCCTGGGCGCTGGCTCTCTCGAAGCGAGATCCCAATTCGTCGGTCACAACGTGACGTCTCCGTTCCATCCTTCGGGGGGAGTTACACAACTGAAATCATTCATGTACTCTCAACTCAAAGGAATTAAGTAAAGTGGTTGAAAAGAATTGTGTTTGATTAACTTAATTTACTTGAGTAAATTGAACAAGCATCAAATGTTATTTTTGGTCTACTTCATTGAAACTTTCTTTCAAAATGAAAATATTGAGTTTTCCAAAACGCAACTGTTTCAAGTCAGTTTAACACAATGCGATGAAAACCTAATACAATGGTGTTAAATGAAAATTCTTTTTTTAAATAAACTGAACAGTATCGTAAAATCATGTTTTTGAGTGACCCTCACACAAAACTTTCTCTCAAACAAAAAGATCATTCTGTATGATTTATAAGCTTGTTTCCTCATGGGGACCAAAGATTGAATCCAATGGAATACAAGGACCACACAATACACGCACGCACACGCACATACACACACACACACACACACACACACACACAAAACCCCGGCCTTATACATATAACCTATAACTCATTAACACTTGAATACAAAATCACATCTTCACCACACTTAGTCAACGCATCTCATATATGACTGAAATATATGACTTTAAATCTCAACATATTGTCTGTCTGATTATTTTGGCATTCTCTCATTTACTGAGCAACACACGTGACCTAGCCCATGTGTGGCTAATACGCTCAATTACACATACAGTGCTAGCAAAGCAACATAAGGTACAGCGATATGAAATAACTTCAGTTAATTTGTCTAATAAATCTAATGTACTGTACAACTTTTTACAACTTATGTCCTACAACTTTTTTATTTTATGTTTGTCCATTTGGTAATTGATCCTTACTATTCCTAATTAGGCTTATTATTTACCATCTTAGGCTCATTTTGAGTGCAAGGTATGTGCTTTCTGTAAATGTAATTGTTTAGTTGATTTATTTATTGTTATAAATTCATATTGTGGTGTACTTTCAAAGGTTTCACACACTTTAAGAAATGTGTCAATACGCTCAAGGGCTTTGATATTCAGTTTTTCAGTGTCTAATAAGCATTACATAACACAGCATAAAATTACAACATACAAATTTTAATTATATATTTCTCTCTCTCTCTCTCTCTTTCTTTTAAACACATCATAATTATATGGAGCCCTGCATATGATATGGGAAAAATATAGCTATATATATTGTGGCGAAAGAATTCAAACTATGAATTTGTTTCCTTGTTCCCTGGAATGCAAAGACATGTTCTGTGCAAACAGCCCTTAAAAAGGGTTTTCTTATATTCTCAAATATTTATTAAACAGTTTGTGCAGCAAACTTACTTTTATGTGAAAATCTCCACTGTCTCTTGGATTCTGAAGCTTTTCTGAACGAATGTTTACTTTTTACATTTAAATACTTAGTATTTAGTTTTTAGTGTTCTGAAGTAATAGAAAGATACAATTAAATGGACACTTTTTTTTTACTGAAACATATGTTTGGGATACTTTAACTGAGTAAGATTTTTACACACCACATATTTGAACTTAGTATAAGTGTAATGCTTTAGAGTAATTCTCTTAATTAACAATTACATAATTACTTAACAGGCATAACGATATTTAAACTTTTGGTTTTACTGGATTTCAGTGTAAGCCACACCGATTTGGTTTTATTCAGTAATGCTGATGTTTATGAAAAAATCTACATCATTTTATCATCATAATATTACCAGTTATTACAACTATGTGATGTTTCTTGGAAAGATAATGTAATGCAGACATAATATTATAGCACTTGGGTTGACACAAAATCATAAGTCAAGCATAATCACAAATTTTTATTTCAAGAAAGAACAAGAGGATTTCTGTTGTTGAGTTCTACCAATGAAACCAGTTGTTTGTGTCCATTCAGTCATGGAAACAGCAATCTGATCCATTGTCAATGCATAACAAGAAACTAATTAGATTTATTTTCAGTTCGTATTGTCGTTGAGGAGATGAACTTTCATAAAGCCAGAGATGATGATGAGATGGCCAATCTCATCTGGAACGACTCTGCTGTGCAACATGAGAAAATCGCTGAGCTCAGGAACTATCAGGTATTGTGATTTTCCTTTCAGTTAAAAAAATAAGTAAGTAAAAGCCAACATGTTGCTAAAGTCTACTTTTATTTTCCATGGCTTTAAGAGCTCATTGACCATTACCATGGCTTATACTAATTTTCCTAAAACCCTTCACAGGAATTTGCAATTTAATCAACTGAAGTCATCTAATGTACTGTATATATAATAACTTTCATGGCTAAAGTACAGTGCAGTAGTAAACCATCAATTGAGGCCACCTGAGATCAGCAAATTGGTCAGGAACAGATTTGAAACAAAGTCCTTTCAAGGGACGTCAGTTCAATTACTGGCTATCATAGTGTGTAATGATCTATAACAAAATAGAGAGAGTTTGTGATAACGAAGCAAATATTTACTTTATACAATAAAATTTTCTTGTTAGAAATTCAATCAGTTGTTCAAAAACATACATGCACACACAAACTGACCACCAAATGCAGCTTTCAGATGCCATTTTTTTAGCTCAACTGTCATAGAATCGAATGCACAGGATGGTGAGATCATAGACGGAAGAATGCATGTATGCTTCTATCAAAAATTGATTGGATGTAGGTATCTCAGTAGACAGGATGTGTCATGATCAATGAATTCAGACGAGCATTGTTGGCTTCTTACCTCCATATGATGCCTGCTGATGCAGGATTTTTCATCTTTGAACAGAGGCTGTTTTTCAATAACATGTCAAACCAAGAAAAAAAAACTTAAACCAGGCAAAAAACTATTTTAAAAGCCCATCCTATGCACGTTTGTTGTAGAGTTTTTTTTGTTGTTGTCGTTAGAGGCATCGTCTCCCATTCCAGTTGTCCAGCTTTTCCACTCTTCCAAACTTCCATTTGTGTCTGGTCTGTGTAGCTTTCCACACCACAAAAGCATCTCACCCAGAACGTTATAGTGTTGGACTGGGTCTGTAGATGCCAAACTCTCTGTTTATCTATTAATATCAGATTCAAAGCTGCAAGAAGTTAAAGCACTTTGACGTTAGCATGTTGCATGCAGCACATCACTCTAATGTTTTATCCTTCTCTGTGAAGGATATACACCATGCTGTCTTAAAATTGTGCTAAAACAAGGTCTCTTAGGAGACAGCTTAGTGTTTGAATTGACACAAATACCAAATAATAACACACATTCAAACAAACAATGTTACATAACATACACGACAAACACTTACTACCTTTCAGAAAGTTTCTAGGTTAATTTTTCTCTGCCAACGATACATTTTTTACCTCTTAGTGTGTCATGATTTCCATATAAGCTATATAAAGGCTGGCTTTTGGATTAAGCTAAAACAACCTCAAATTAATAGATTGCCCGAAAATTCTGTTATAATTTACTCACCCTCAATAAACCACTGGAGTTATTTAAACCACTCAAGTTACACGTTCAGTATCAATACCAGATATTTCAATATGAATGTTCTTCAGATTTTCTGCTTTTATTTTATTTTTGCATTTACATTCAGTATGACATAAAAGATTTGAAACGTTGTGTTAGGGCTTGCTTTCATAAAGCAACTCTGCATGTCTGTCTAATATTCCCTGTCACATATCACAGGATTACATTCGAAAAGAAAAATGCCCCAAACATTTGGCTTAGATGCTCTGCTTCATATAACACTTTTCATAAAGTTGTGTTTTGTTACTTTATTTTTGGAAAAGCATGTTTTTTTTTCTTTCACACTTACTAAAATGTTTGTTCCACAGTTTTTTTTTCTTGCTTTCCTGTGATTGGCTCGGCTGCCAAGCTACAGGTCATATGAGTCAAATTAATGGCCCTGTTCAGCCTCATTTACTCAAAGAATACAGAAAAACGCTCCACCCCTCCCTTCCTCTTTGCATTCAAAGCAATTCATTCATCTGTCAGTACCTACAACTACATGGGCTCTGATGCAGAACCAATTACCTTGGCCCTTAGAGTCAAAATTGATCGTCTTTTTTTGTTTTAAATTAAAAACAATGTGGGGAACTAAATAGGGGTTAAGAAAGGTCTGACAACCACCTTTTGTTTTGAGTCTGTAATTGGACATAAATGTCAAAATATTATAGTCTCAGTTCAAGACTTGGGCTCTAATATTGTGTTTTTCCTCTCAAAGGTGAATAACCAAGTGCCCTCTAACAGTGTGATTATTTTCCTCAGAGGATAAACCATTTCCCAGGAATGGGTGAGATCTGTCGGAAAGACTGCTTGGGAAGAAACATGTCCAAGTGAGTTCAAAAACATGATACCATATCAAATACATGACTGATTACAGCTGCCCTCCAGCCAAGAAAAGTTGACTTTAACTCTTTTTTAAATTTTTTAAAATTTATTTTTATTGTAATATCCTCTTTCTTTCCTTAGAATGATTAAAAGTCAGCCTCAGGAATATAGCTTCATCCCCAAAACCTGGATCTTCCCAGCCGAGTGCACGCAGTTCCAGAACTATGTAAAGGAGCTGAAACGAAAACGCAAGCAGAAAACGTTCATTGTTAAGCCTGCAAATGGGGCCATGGGCCATGGGTAAGTTACAGCAGACTGGAAATTTTGCATCCTGTATGAGTGTGTTGTTCTGGAATATTTCTTAAAATGTAGATTATTTGTAATTTTCCCATGGGCAGCATACTGCTACAAAAGTGGCAAAAATTTCCCAGTAAAATTTTGCTATTTGAAAAGTTTCTATTTCTGACAGACCAGAAGTCATTCATTTATAATTGAAAGTAGTACAGGAGTTGCATGGAGTTCCAACCTTCTGTGTATTTGGATCCGATTTGAGCTTTGGTTGCATTGAAATATTTGAACTTTTGCAGTTAGACTGTATGGGATCGCCCAACTAGTTGTGACATATTCAAATCAAAACAATGACCATGAGGTGAGAATTAACAATATTTTTCCACTAAAACATTATTATATAATCTATTTTTGTTAAATTTTTGGTTATGGATAATTATGTCTGACTCTGAAATAATTGTTTATAATTGAATAAGCGGAGGGTAATGGCAAATTCCCTTTAGTACAAGTAATTTAACTCGTCGGCCATCTTTGAAACGCCTCTCGGGCATCCAAGTGCAGCTCCTAACTCATTGAATGGGGAAACATTAAATGCTCCAAATCTGGTCACCAAGCTTGCGATTAAATTTCGTATTTGAAATCACCAATGAAATCTGACAACAACTGTCTCATAAATGTTGTTTCTTTTGCTCAGATAGCATTAAAAAGCTTATTTTTCAGGCTAGACTAGCCAGTCCTAGACTAGCCAGCCACTAAAGTCCTAGACTAGCCAGCCAGTCCTAGACTAGCCAGCCACTAAAGTGCGCATGTGCAGTCCTAAGCGCGTGCGTCTGAGAATGCTGACTGTTTCTATAGCAATGAGTTTCTATAGACAACTGTAGCTGCAGTGATGCGATGACGACCGATCGGCGATTGGCTCTTTTGTTGAGAAGGCGGGACTATTCCACCATACTCCGCCACTTTCTCCCATTCATAAGTAGTTGTAGTGCACTGTCTTTATATGTTTAGTATGTCTTGTTAATGGTCACTTCATGACCAATTTGAAAGTTCAGTACGACTGCTTTTAGGGGTGAATTGTGACAATCATCACAAATAGTTAAAGTTAAGAATAAGCTAGTTCCGGTTTGTTGAATTAGAGTTGGTGCTAAACTGAAAAGGACAGCAGCCCTCCAAGGCCACGAATGGACACCCCTGGGTTAGGGTTAGGGCAGTGATTGGTTGATAGGAGTATCATTCCATGTCCCACTTATGTATATAAATAATATTGTGCCACTGCAGTAACCCTAATAATAACCCAAACACCAACCCTTTATTTTAATACCTGAACCTTATTCTTAAGCCGAAAGTGTACAGCAGCAGATGGGGCAATAGATTTATTTATGACTGTCTTCTATCCGTTCGTAAATTAATAGTTCTATGGTCATACGCTACAGCAAGCCGGTACTTATTAAAATGAGAAGTCATCAAAGGTTGAGTTATCGTGCCGCATTTAACAAGTGAAAGAATATTGTCTGCTAGGCTGGAGATTAAATTTGAAAAAGCGTAGCGTGACGCAGGAAATTAAGTTATATCTTCATATGTAATTTATTTTTCAGGCCGAAAACTAAATGAATATTGTTTGTGTTTAAGCAGAGGCTTGTTAAAAACTGTGGAGGGCTAAAAGACGATATCCCCACTGGTGCCAAATTAAACAGTCAGCCAAAGTGGGTTTTGATTACCTGCCATCAGCCCTCATCAATCATGCCATGCAATTCAAACAACCCCATTATCCTCTACAACATCACACAACACAAGCTACTGGACGCTAAACACACACCTGAGCCAGCGGACGCCAAGTGCAGGGCTAGAGACTGTGTGGCAATACTGTGGAGATAAGGAAGATTGTCCGGTGTGTTGCTTTTGGCTGAACACCAAATTCAAGTACACTGAACTCCCTTTACAATAGCTGAAGCAATTAATATTTCATTTGTAATTATAAATAAAATTTTTATATATTAAACAAAACACCTTTTTACTGATAAGCAGCGATAGATATGGCATTTCTTATTGAAAATAATGCATTTGAAGTGTAATAAATCCTGGAAACTCCTCAAGAGCCACTTATTATTATGCTAGTAGAAATGAGACTCAATCACGGTAAATCATTTTTAATTGTTTTAATTGAGCGACTCAGTGTTACATGGGTCTTTTTGTGGCCCTTTTTCTTATTTGGCCATTTTCTGCAGCTTTGTTCTTGTACTAAGCAAACAACCGTAAATGAGTTAAATGTATCACAAGTCACAAGAGAATCTTTCGTAACACCACAATTCTTGAGAACGTTCAGCTGTGTTTTAATAGTGCTGAACCTCTGCATCTAATTACAGCACGAGCAAGCAGACAAATTATTTTGCAATATTTATCAGCTGACGTAGCTAACAAATGAACTGTGATGATCGAGCCCTCCTTCAGCAGCTTGTGGTCTTTGGAATGTTGATGTCTCAGGTAAACGCTGAGGCCACATGCAAACCGGACGAAGAGAAACATGCAACCAATTAAGTTAATGCGGACCAATGGCTGTATATTTTACCATCAAAGCTGGTTTTTCTAAGGCCCCTTTGTTTGTTAAACATCCAAACTTCACTTTTTTATGTGTTTGGTACTGGTGAACGCATCGTTATCTGTATACTAGAGCAGCCAAGAGCTGGAGATCTGTTCAAGCTCAAAACCAAAGGAAATAAATGATGGCAGGGCTTGAAACAGACCAAGACGTCTGGTCCTATTAACCTGGGTCTAGTCAGGGTCCAGGGACCAGCGATAGAGACAGCACCTTAATAAACTCACTCTCTCTGACACACTTCAGAGGTTTGGATTTTTAACTAACAATAAAATATGCTGGATGTGCGCTGAATCTTATCCATTTTCCCCCAGGATATCTCTGATTCGGAATTGTGAAAAGCTCCCGGTGCAGGAACACTTCATTGTGCAGGAATACTTAGACAAGCCCTTCCTCATGGAGGGTTACAAGTTTGACCTGAGATTCTACATTCTTGTTACTTCCTGTGATCCGCTACGTGTCTTCCTCTACAACGATGGCCTGGTGCGAATGGGTACAGAGAAATACCACATGCCAAACGAGTCAAACCTGGTAAGTTGGTATATGATGTCAATCATGTAAGTGACGTGAAAATTTCATTCTATGTCGTAAATGGACTTACAGTCAAAATTAACTCACTTCCAATAATGGGCAGAATCCTCCACTTTATAAAACTGTCATGGAGACACTTTTCATAATCCAATCAGTTCCTGATGGATACAAGCAATTGCAAATGCTGTTTTTTATACTGACTTTAACGCTCTCACACATAATTGAGATAATAGGCATTAGTCAGAGTAAACATCATATGTAATTGTGATGAATATGAGTGTATTGCTGCTGTTGTTACATAGTAAATTGTTACACAAGTTGCAAAGTATGCATAGAAGATATCATGTAAATTCAACCATATGCAAAACGATTAATATACAAGCTAAATCACACTGTAAATTGTATGTAAAACAATTCTTGTATAAACTGTTGCATTATAAATCTTTGTAAAACCATTCATAGGTAAACTGTCACATAGTAAATATTCGTAAAACCATTCTTTGGTATTTGTAAATGGTTGTGTTAGGAATATGGACTGTCTGTGTGTGTTTTGCTCACCATGTGCTCCCATTGACCTAGTTTTCCCTCGTGTGTGACATGCCCATATTTGGTTTTTCCTGTTCCTGTTCCCATTGTGTTTCATTGATTCCAGGTGTGTCTCGTCATCCCCTCGTTTAGTTGATTACTTAAGCTCTGTTCTGTTTGCTTTGTCCGGTGTCTAATGTCTTCTGGTTCCCTATGTTTGTGCTACGTGTATTCCTTTGGATTATCATTAAAGACTGGTATTTGAGTTTATTCCTACGTTTCCTCGTCTCCTCGTTCCTCGCTCCACACCATAGCAGCAAGTCTGACAGAACACCAGACCTACAAAAAGTTTATTTGCGTTGTTCCCCTCCATTAATTTTTTGCGTTTTTACAGTGTTTTGTTTTCTGGTTTCCCTGTGGATTCCCTCGCCGCAAAGTTTACCTCCCTTGCCCGCAAGGACCTTCCCCTTTTGGAGTATGCGGTTGAGTTCAGCCAGCTCGCCGTGTTAACGGCGTTTGCCGGCGCTGCACTGAACTCACTGTTCTGGGTCGGGGCTAACTACTACTGCCCCGTCGACCTCCCAGACACCACCAGACTGAGCTGGAGGGAGACAATCATCTGGTGTCTGGAGAGTGTCTACCTCCGATCTAGAACACAGCCAGACCTAGTGCCCAGCCCACCATCTCCCGGCATGCCAGAGCCCACCGTTGACGGAGAGTCCAAGCCCATTGCGACCGACGAGCCATCACCTAGAAGTGCGACAGAGCTGAGGATCGCCACAGAGCCAGAGCCTCATGGATCGTCAGACCAGTTGCGAGGGAGAAAGCTGTGGACAGTAAGAGCGCGGAGAGGAGCTGCACCGTGGCTGAGGGTGAGCAAATTGTGGATCTGGGACTGTGTAACTATGAATCTGGTTCCTGAATGCCCGGAGGCGCACAAATGCTCGCCCACCCGCCTGCTCCTGCCTCCTCCACCGCTGTCATCTGGCAGCCCCTCTGCTCGCTCTCAGCTCACCATCAGTGCGGTGCGAGCTCTGCCATCCTCCATCACCACCGTGGCTGGAGAATCCCTTGCCTCCGCCTCCAGCCTCTGAGACCCAGACTCCGCCTCGGCCTGTCGACCCAGCGGCTCCACCATGGCTCCTAGCTCCCTCCTCTCCGCCGTGGAGACTAATGACTAATGTCTTCTGGTTCCCTATGTTTGTGCTATGTGTATTCCTTTGGATTATCATTAAAGACTGGTATTTGAGTTTATTCCTACGTCTCCTCATCTCCTCGTTCCTCGCTCCATGCCGTAGCAGCAAGAGTGACAGGTTGCATTGTACACCATCTGTAAAACCATTTTTAACGTAATCTGTTGTAAATCTTTCTTCCGTAAAATGTTGCATTGTAAATCTTCATAAACCCATTGTTGTGTAAAATGTCAAATTACATGTATTCATAAAATATTCTTATGCAGATGTTTGCGTTGTAAACTATCTGTTATGTTGACCATAAATGTGACCATTTATATAATAATGGATGTACGCTCTTATGGACCTTAATTTTTTTCCCCTCAGAACCAGCTGTACATGCACTTGACCAACTACTCCGTAAACAAACACAACGAGAACTTTGAGCGAGATGAAACGGTGGACAAAGGCAGCAAGCGCTCTATTGGTTGGTTCACAGAGTTCCTTCGAACCAACGATTACGACGTGGCCAAATTCTGGGGCGATGTATCAGTGAGTTGTTTTTCATTTTTATTGCTTAGTCTCTTCAATTATCATTATGTAATTGGAAATTTTAGCTACTCGCGCCATGAGCAATGTGTATCTTTTAATCTAAGGCTGCATGATACGATGGAAATGTGATGTACAACACAAACCTGTTTGATAACATGACGCAATGAAAGATTATGTAATTGGAAATTTTAGCTACTCGCGCCATGAGCAATGTGTGCCAAGTTAATAGAAGTTCTACAAAAATTTTGAACTTTTAAAAATGTGTCTGCATGCTTGTCTTTATGCATATGATGTAATTGGTTCACACCCATATCAGAAGACACTGCACACTAGAGCCCGACCGATATGGGATTTTTGGGGCCGATACCAATATTAGGGAGTAAAAAAAAAGGCGGATACCGATATATCGGCCGATATTCTTTGTGTATATTATAGTACAGTACCAGTCAAAAGTTTGGACACTTTCCCATTCGTGTGTCCAAACATTTGACTGGTACTATATATAGAATACAGTATATACTGTACATAAACACCTATAATCCAGCGCCTCTTTATTGGCTCACAAGCTGTCCTTATTTATTAAAGAAATTTATCAGATGTCAGAAGATTCTACTAATAACTTATGTTATATTCTCATTTATGTGTCAGAACAGATATGCTTGAACATTTTCAGTTTAGCTGAGGACAAACGCACACACAAACACACGCACATGATTCTTTCTGTTCTCTGTGGGGGATGCGTGCTGGGATCTAACCTGCTTCTCCGGAACTGCACGTTTGGGGTCTACGGGACACTCAGCAAACGTCCCGCTGGTTATCTGCCCCTCATACCTCAACACAGCCTCTGTTTAATCATGCAGGGAGACCGCCGGCCTGCCAGACCTCTGATAAGAGAGTACAGCAGCTGATATAGGCCGTCTGTTCCTGTCTTCCTAAGATCTGCCCCTGTCTTCCTGTAGCGTGCTGTCAGTCTTTGACCTATCATGTCTCTTCAGGGAGCTGGGATGTTAATGAGTCCCTCATATGGGCTGTTTGCACATGCAATGAGATTTCACGAGCATATCCTCACCGAGAGTTAACACAATGTCATGCACTTCTTGTGATTCAAGCAATTCAGTTCACAACGTTCACTTTTGAATGTACTGATTGGAGTTGTTTAAATTAGTTGTGTCTTATATAACAAATGTGTGTTTTGTGCTTGTGTTTGCAGGAGCTGGTGGTAAAGACCCTGATAGTGGCTGAGCCACATGTGCTCCATGCCTACCGAATGTGCCGCCCGGGCCAGCCACCAGGGAGCGCCAGCGTCTGCTTTGAAGTGCTGGGTTTTGACATAATCCTTGACCGCAAGCTCAAGCCCTGGCTGCTAGAGGTCAGTTTTCACCCTCTCTTCTCAATCAGTCCACTTCTTCATCCGCCCCACTTGTGCTGATGTACAGTTCACATTTGAGTGTCCTCACTTGTAGGAAGCAATGATGGAGGATAGATCTTATGTTAATAGCGGTATATTGGGAAATCCAGTATTCATGAAGTAGCATTTACATGCAGTAGGCAGGCTGTATGCACTATTCATATATATATTTTCTCATCATATTTTGGTCAACGGTGTGTTTTAATTCAAATTTTTGTTGACAAAATAAAAAAACAGCTCAGATACTGATAGACCTTAGTCAAGTCAAGTCAAGTCACCTTTATTTATATAGCGCTTTTAACAATACAGATTGTGTCAAAGCAACTGAACAGCATTAATTAGGAAAATAGTGTCAATAATGCAAAGTGACAATAGTAAACACTCATTTTTCAGTTAAAGACAGTTCATCATTGAATTCAGTGATGTCAACATCCAGCTCAGTTTAAATAATATCTTTGCAATTATGTCAACGATATCGCCGGAAATGAAGTGTCCCCAACTAAGCAAGCCAGAGGCAACAGCGGCAAGGAACCAAAACTCCATCGGTGACAGAATGGAGAAAAAACCTTGGGAGAACCTCACCTGCACTCAAAGGTAGACACACATCCGCCATTAAAGCAAGTAACAGTGAGTAAAACAATGGTAATGTGTGTGAATAGAGTATTAGTGTAAGCGAGATTAGCGGCAACCACGCTGGCGATGCTAGCGGGCTATATGCTAATAGCGGACTCGGAAGTCAAAAATAGAACTAGTGCTAACAAGGCGCTCTGATTGTTTTTGGTGTAGAATACGATAGGGGATATATTCACACGTTATAGAACTGAAAAAGGATGGTGTATAAAATTGATTTTAAGATAAAAAATGGGACGACAAAGAATTAACTTGACGGAGCTCAAACTCAAACCACACGGCAGCAACAAACAGGAAGTGAAGTATAAAGTAGAATTAGTGTTTTGTAATTAGTGCAATACCCTTAGTCAGGGTATTGCAATATTTAATTTTTGACAGGAATGAAAATGAGGCTGTGAGGAATATAATAACTTCAATGGATTGTATGGTTGTTTAACAAAATACTGATTGTTCGGTTACAACTTCAGTAACAACTTTCCGAAAAAAGTTAAATAAAAAATCAGTAGACAAAAACTTCATAAAACAGTTTTGAATGTTGTGAGTGGTGAAAATGATGTGATCTAGGACCTTTATACAGTCCTTGCCATTATAAAGACTGAAAGTCTATCCCTCACAGCCTCATTTTCATCCTTGTTAAATTCAGTATGGCATCTAACCCGATTAAGGACTTTTGTGTTTTTTATAATATTAAAATGGTTACATTTCTAAACGACTTTATAGCAATAAAGAAAGTTAACAATGGATATTTCCTCTCAGATCTTAAATTTTTTTTTTTCTATTCAAATTTTGTTGACAAAATCTAAAACTTTTTGGTACACGACAAGCTACTCATGATTCTAACTGTGATACTAACTGTCTTTTGTATAATATAGTGCTGTAAAACAATTAATCGCATCCAAAATAAAAGTTTTTGTTTACATAATATATGTATGTGTACTGTGTATATTTATTATGTATATATAAATACACACACATGCATGTACAGTATATATTTCAGAAAAATGTTTATATATTAAATATATTTATTTATAATATAAATTATATGAATATAAATATAGACATGTAAATACATGTAAATATTTTCAAAATATATACTGTATGTGTGTGTGTGTGTGTATTTATATATACATAATAAATATACACAAAACACATTTTTTTGCAAACAAAAACTTTTATTTTGGATTCGATTTATCGCGATTAATCGTTTGACAGCAC